GCCACCAGCATTTGCCCTGCTGGGTCCTCCTATGGAAGTGACACTGATCTTGCCCTGCTTTCAACCGGTGTCTCAGTTTTTATTTTATATATTGGGACTCTTGATTTTATTTTACAAAAGAAAATTGGTTCCATAGCTGAAAACTATGAAGCCATTAGTCAACCCTAATATTCTACTGTCATCAGATGTATCAAGAGACATGCTTGAAAGCTGAAAATGCAGTTAGCCTTCATTTTACCTTTCTAGACTTTTAATTGATTAAATCAGCAGTCCCCAACCTTTTTGGCATCAGGGACCAGTTTTATGGAAGACAATTTTTCCACAGATTGGGGTGGGGGATGATTTCAGGATGATTGAAGCACATTACATTTATTGTGCAGTCAAACCTCTCTGCTAATAATAATCTGTATTTAGCAGCCGCTCCCCAGCACTAGCATCACTGCCTCAGCTCCACCTAAGATCATCAGGCATTAGATTCTCATAAGGAGCAGGAAACCTAGATCCCTCAGGTGCACAGCTGTCAGTAGGGTTCATGCTCCTATGGGAATCTAATGCTGCTGCTGATCTGACAGGAGGCAGAGCTTATGTGGTGATGCCAGCAAAGGGGAGTGGCTGCAAATACAGATGAAGCTTTGCTCCATCACCCACCGCTCACCACCTGCTGTGCCGCCCAGTTCCTAACAGGCCAAGGACTGCTACCATCTGTGATAATTACCTAATCATATTGTAACTCTACTATGTGTCAGAGATTACGTAAAGTGCTTTGTATATCAATACTTAATGCTCATTAATAACTATGTAATTACAGAGATGAGGAGACCGAAACTCACAGATACGAAGAAGTATACCCCATGACATCTAGCTAGCAAATGGCAGAGCTGGATTTGAAACCAGATTTTATTCCAAAAATAGCAGTCTTAAATACTAGTCTCTACTGCCTCATATGTATGGCTATAAAATAACAACAAATAGGTTTTGTTTTTTTTTTAATGTAAGGAATCCTTTTTGTTATGTAGGGGGAGGGAAAAAGGATGAAAACAGGTGCCAAAATTACACTGTGGCATGAGCAGTCACTACTCACAGATAATGCTGGACGAAAACATACAAAACAGAAACATGAATGTCCCCGCATAGCAGACTTGAGTGGTCTTTTATTCTTTTCTTATTCACACTTTTTTTGTACTGTCCTTATTTTCAGTGAGCATATATTATTTAAGGTGAGTGTGATTTGGCAGGGATGATGGCAGTGGTGTTACTTTTTATTACAAAAAAATCTTAAATGTACACAAAAGTTGAATATAGTGTAATAAACCACTATATAAACATTAACCCAGTTCCAAAAATCAACTCACAGCCAGTTCTATTTATATTCCCATCCATCTCCCTCCCTATATTATTTTGAAGCAAATACCAAACATCATACCATTTCATTCCAAATATTTTAGTAGCATCTCTAGGACTCTTTAAAAAAACAAACATAGCAGCAATACCATTATCACAGCTGAAAAGTAAATAGTGATTCCTTAATATCATTACATAACCAGTATTCAAATTTCAAACCGTCTCATAAATGTTAAAATATTTTTTAAAGTGTTTTTGATTCAAGATCTTAGAAATGCAAATTTGTGGGCTCCATCCCAGACCTGCTGAATCAGAAACTGAGGGTGAGGTCCAGCAATATGTGCTTAACAAGCCCTCCAGGTAACTCTGATGCATACTAAATTTGGAGAAACCAATAACTGTACCTTTCCCACAATTCTTAGAATGCTCATGCTAAAAGCTATTAGCTTTTTATTGCACCTTATAATACTGAAGTTAGGTTCTAGATTTTTTTCCCATATACAGTTTTCCCAATTAGTCCATAAAGAATTATGTCTTCAATTTTTATCTATCAAACAACCTACATGGTACTAGTCATGTTCCAAAGTTTTCAGAAACTTCATTATACATAGCTTGATTTCATTGTTGCTTTGAAATAGCTCAATTAAATAAAAAAAAAACGATAGCCTTATCACCTTTCCAGGAAATAACTTGCACTTAAGTGGTCTAAACAAATAGCCAGGAAAATAGTTTCTAATGTTTGGCCTGAACCACTTCTCTCACATCTGTCGTTTTGAGACTTCATACTGGGAAAAAGGGAGAAAATGTAGATGAAGCTTATGGTAGGCTCAATAATGGTCCCCCAAGATGTCCATGCCTTAATCCTTAGAACCTGGAATACATTACCTTATATGATAATAAGGACTTAGCAGATGTGACTGTAAGTTAAGGAACTGAGATGGGAAGATTATCCTGTTCATCCAGGTGGAGGCAATGACCTTCTAAGACAAAACACAGGTAGACCCTATAACCAAAGAGAAAGACGTATGATGACAGTAGCAGAGAGAGATTTTAGGACGCTACACTTTTGACTTTGAAGATGGATGGCCAATGAGTTCCCAGAATGCAAGGAATGCAGCAGTTCTAGAAACTGGAAAAGGCAAGAAAACAGATTCTCCCCTAGAGCCTGCAGAAGGAATGAACCCTGCCAACACCTTGACTCCAGCCCAGTGGATCTGATTTTGGACTTCTGGCCTCCAGAACTGTAAGAGAATTAATGTTTGTTGTTTTAAGCCACTAAATTTGTAGGAATTTGTTTCAGCAGCAATAGAAACTAATACAAAGCCTTTGACAAGTTTTTATTGTGAAATATTGGATTTAGAAAAAAGTACAAAATGTCAACAGTCAGATTGTACAAGTACAGTATTTCAATAGTCTATACATGTGAACAGCTTAATAGGTTCACTGCAGAATGCATATTTAGACCAATATAATCTAAAAAGGACTGCAATATTCACAGGCTATTAATACATAAATAACTTGGAGCCAAAATGACCCTCACTGGTAAATGCTAATTAATAGTGGAAAACAGGCTAAGAGAGCACAATACAGCACACCATAGTATCTCCTTACAGATCCACATTTAAAGAATACCAGCTCATTATGTCAATACACTACAGATCCAGGACTGGGACTCAATTATTAGTTTATACAATTGCAAAAAATTTAAGTTATAAAATAAGATCATGAAGCAAAGAGAGGGTATTTAATTACGACTAAATACTGTGAAGCCACTAAAAGGTTTTAGCCTTGGAACTTATGAAACTTAATTATTTAGACTGTTTATGTTAGCTAACATTAAAATTAAATAATTTTCAATTTTAATATTAGCTAAAGGGAAGGGCAACTTTCTTTTGTAGCATCTTCAACAAGGTATAAGAACTACACAGTAAAACCATAATGACCACTGTGGATTGACAAATGGCTATAAAACAAGAATATAAAACATTATAAATTTTAAAGAAACGTAACAACTTCCTTAAGAATTTAGCAAATCCTGCAAACATTAAAATCCATGTTAAGGCATTATCTGTCATGGTTGAGAGTAAGTTTAGGATTATTATTACATGAAGATCTCAAAAATAAACTGGTCTAATTTTTCCAAGATTCTGACTGAATCTTTTACTATCACTTGAAAATAACCTATATTATGCTTCCAAATTGGACAAAGAATTATTTGGTATCACTTTATAATGAACTATAGGAATAGTCTACAGAAATACACATCATGTTAAAAAGAACTGTTATAATCATGTGTTAAGAAAGCCAATGTTTGATATGACATAATCAATGCTTGTCTCAAAACAAAACCTTCAAACTGCTACATTTACTGTTTTACTTGAAACAAATTATCTCTGCCCAAAAACTCCTAAGAGAAGAAACTCTTTTACTTTGCAAAGTGTTATCTAGCAATGACTGAGGCTTTAAAATTGCACTAAAATATTGCGCAGATCAATTCCATTACATGCTGAAAACCACTGGATCAGAATATAATTAGTCATTAACTTCACATAACCTATTCCACCCTACCGTAACCTGTTATAGACAATTTTAAAGACTTTGAGACAATTTACTTATAAATAGTGTCTGAATCTTATAGATTCCAATTTATTCAAAGATAATCACAGACTGGATTAAAAAGTTATTTAATTTTTTCCAGATTTGCCTTAAATTTACAAATTAAGTATGATATACATAAATATTAACTTAGATAACCACACATTATAAGGAAAGCAGATATAGTGACCATTATAGAAACATTATAAATTTTAAAGAATTTTTATAAAGAAAGCAAAACATGTAACTCTTGAAATACGAAGCCATATGACATAAAAAATAAAATTACTCTATTGGAAGTGACTTAAAGTTAAATCTTTGGGGAAGTATTTTGACATAATTAAATGAATTCAATGACCAACAGCTTCCCTTATCACACAGAAACAAACCACAAAATCTTCTAAAGTCTATATATGCATTTTGAGTTAGTTCTTAATGCAACCTCAAACATTTTACTAGCAACTTTGATTTCCTTTTGAAATAGGGTTCTGTACATATTCGTTTATATACAAACATTTATTAAACATGATTTTAAAACAAACTGTATGTACAAAAGATCAGCATTCCTATAAATAAAAACATTAGCTGGCAAAAAGGCACTTGTAAGTAAAAATCTACAGTTTTTACAAAACAAACACATTTTACCTCGGATATTGTACAATAAACATTAATTCCTATACCAATAATGAAAATGCTAGGTTACTGTTAATGATGTAACTTTTAAAAACATATTTACATATACTCTTTTCATTTAATAGAAGCACCATGATTCTTTCCTAAATTTATGTTGATGCAAAGTAAAAACACAATTCCCAAAAAAAGTGTTTACCACTTTTCTTGTTTAAAAGTTTTTGTATTTCTAAATTGAAAACTGTTTATCTCAAATTAGCATAGTGAAAAAAAAAAACACAAAAATACCCTGCTGCTTTGACTTCTTAAAACCATATCTACTCTATTATTGCATGTTGAGTTTTATAAAGAGCACTACTCATGCACTCCTTTACAACTGTTTAATACTATTGCTGGCAAAAAAGTTCCTGGATATCAAATAATTAAAAAGTTACTTCAAACCAGTTGAAGTTTTATTTGAATGTTTTACAACCTAAAAAATGCTGTGTATCAGTTACAAAAGTGAATAGGAAACACGCCAATTCGTTTGGTGTGCAAAAATATTTTTCCACTACACAGAATTTTAGGGCTTCACAGAATTCCGCCCCCCACCCCCAAATTTACACTGTAAGCAGAAACACTAAACAAATAATTGCTTTCTCAAGGAGATGTTAGTATGCTTCCACTTTTGTCAAACTTTTTACCCTTTGACAATGCTGCAACCTGTTTGAGTAGTTCTCTGTTTTTGGCCTGTGGAAGACAAAAATATTCAAGATTAAAAATGTTTGAAACATTATTAAGAGTCGTTCTGAAGAATACCATTTATTTAATATTGCTCTTTCCATTTACATGGCAAAAGACTTTACTGAAACACCAACAGATTAAATGAAAGAGTTGGTACATTTAGGTTCATCTCTTTAAGGCTGAATATGCAGAAGGAAATTCTAGATTGGTTTATTAGCCCCCTTTGTAAATGTCATTATTAATATAATTGTTGTCCAAAGATATAACTGGTTATGAAAAAAGGTAACGAAGTGAATCCACTTAAAAGAAGGTTCAAATTTTAAATAGGGAAAACATGTTTGGCCCTTTATCTTAAAAACATGAAATTAAAATTACAAAAATAAGCTGTATTTTATAAACAATAAAATCAAAGAATGAATCAAGTGTTGATTTGGGAGGAATATTTTCCAGCAAGCTGTATGAGGTCTTTCAGTTGATGTTTTCCTTCTTGTAGAACAAGCTAAGAGGTCATTTTGCAAAAAATAGTTGGAATTTATCAATTTGCCAAAGGCACTCTTAATGATAATAAATTTTTTTTTAAGCATCCATCAGGACCTGCTCTTTTCTGATCTTATTCTTGTTCCTTTAATTGACAGAGAGTCATCGGCTGCTGGCTTTGGTGTGATCTGAGCAGTTGCCTGTTATCACTGTTTTCAATTTCAAGAAAACCTGAAATTTTTTTTCTTACAAAGATTCAAAATTTCACTTTGCTAACCACCTCAACTTAATTTGTACTTCATTATCAAATGTCCCATCCATAATTGACAAAGACATTGTCCTTGAGCCAATATGCTATGACAATCACTAGTTTAGCAAGGAGGAAGGTGTATGCAGGGACTTTCAGTGAATATTTTCATATTCTAATTGCTTTTGCCACCTTGTGCAGTCTCTTAACTATGGAAACTTAGATAATAAGGATTCCTGTATATATAAATACATTAATGATCAAGCACTTTTGAAGTTTCTGAGCCAAAATGGGGAGAGTGATGAAAATAGTTTAGAACCCGAGCAGAGCACTGCCCTAAAATTAACAAATTTTTAAAAGATATCCTCTGGCTTTTGTTTGAAAACCATTTTCCTCCACAGGTTTCGAGATTTTTTTATTATCTAGACAGACATTTTTTAATCTCAATGCTTCATCTTCTACTTTTAGCTTGGTATGGCCAGATAATACCCTGCCTTCTTCTGTGTGCCACCTTAAAGTGGTTTCATTCCCCAACGCTTCTCCAATCAAACTCTTCCTAATTAACACCTGTGACCTCCAAAATGCAAATATTCTCAGTGCTACCTTATATGTGCAAATCATTTTTTATGTTCAGCTGCATGATTAATAGGGTTTCTTTATTCAATGGTTATTAAATAACTAAGGCAATAATGAAGAGCTTCAATTTAAAATTCAATATCCATTTTAAACTTTGAAAACCATAAAGAATTGAAAAAGATTATTCTCCCATTAAAACTAAACAGTTTGAGAAACTCAGAGGGCAAATCAAGTGAGAATGTAGCTGGCAGTTAGGGGAAATCAAGTAGCACACTCATAATCAACCGGTTTATTACTCAGCTGACCAGTCCAAGTCAGTGTGGTAGTTTAAAACTTGCCTTTAATTGTTAACTACATATTATTTAGTTTATAATAAGTCCACTGGCTAATCAGAAATTCAAGAAACATAAATTTTAAAATAAAATTAATGAAGGGTATAAAAAAGGCTATGTTTATAAATCTGCTTCAAAAAGACCTCCACCAGATCTATAAACTATATTTATATAAAAATGTTTATATTGATACACTAAATGGTTAAAAAGTAAATCTCTAAATTATATTTTCTCAATTATCAAATTAAAAAAATGAGTTTATAATTTTCACATTCTAAGTACAAAATATAAGAAATTAAACATTACATCTTGAAAGCAGTTTTTCCTTTTAATGCAGCTAATTTTCAATCTGCATTTAGCATACACCAATAAATTTATTTGTTAATAAATAATAAAAAAGCCTTTAAAATAGTGTTATCAGTTGTCAAATGGACACAAGTCCAAATTTATCTTATTATAATTTGAGTACACTAAAAATGAATTTCATAATGCAATATTTAAATAAATGCACATTTAAATTTTTTATCCTAAAATTACTTCATTTTGCACCCTGAAAAAAATCAATGAAATTATTTAAAAACATTTAGAAATGTTGATCTGAAGGAAAAAAATATGTGAATTAAGAATTACACAGATACTGCTTTAAGTCCTCGCTCTGCCACTTACCTGCTATGTAATCTCGAGTATATTTTCTCATTTGTAAAACAGAAACTACATCACCCACCTCAAAATGAGTTGAAAGAACAAATCAAAAATACAAAACACATAGCCTAACACAGTGACTGGTACATACAAGGCATTCAAATGTTAGGTCCCTTTCCTCTTTTAGCCATTTACTTAATTAAACAGAATGTTTATTTGATATTTTTAGTATTTTACATAGTTTAGGGAGTTTGGGGGGATATTTTAGACAACTTTTTCTTGTCATGTTCAGTGCTTATTCCCAGGTTTGATAGTTAAAAACATTTTAAGAACTGTTAGAGTACATGAAGTTTGTGTTACAAGGTGCATTACTTATCATATAAAGAAAAAAAATTTACTATGTTTACTTACCTCAGTAAAGAATCCTACTAGTATCACTGGTTGCTAATGGGAGTGGGGTAAAAAGACAGCACTTAGCTGTGACAGAAACTCTCTAGCCATAACACAAAAGATATAGGGAAGTGTTCTGATAAGAAGGATAAAATAGAAATTCTGAGTAACATGAGGTGGTGGGAGCTAGGGTAGAACAGGGGAAATTACAGCTAAACCTGAGTCAGAAGATGAAGGTTTCTGTGTCCCTAATTACTGTATAACCACAGTTTCAACTATAAAATGGGTATACCATGTAACTCAGAGCTACTGTAAGGAATAAATAAGACAGTATATGTAAAATCATGTTGAAAATGTCCTACTTCTATATAAATATTAATTACTCTTATATTATATGAAAAGTCAGCGATCAAGCAATCAGGCTAAGTCAAAGAGGGTTCCCCTGTGCTTGCGACTATGATTTTAAAAAACAGAAAACAAACTGCTCTTCTGAACAGTGGGAAGTATTAAGTTAAATCATGTTTAAGTACCACTCACAGTTATTCTGTTTTCTCATTTTGGATTTACCTCAGAGCTTTGGTTATATCACATTAAATCAGAGATCATCAGGTTAAAGATTTTGTTCTAAGTAACCCTTCAGCATTAATAACTGAATAAGAAAAATAATAGTATCATAAACTAAAAATACTTGCTGGTGGATGAAAAACAATAATTAATGTACAACGAGCCTGGTGTACGATATGGGTAATCTTTCAGGACAGAGGGCAGATGGGCATTTCCATAAATCACCACTTATTTAATAAATCATTTGAATGCCTACTACGTCCCAGGTTCTATGTAAGGTTCCTTTTCAAAGTTATTTGTAATAGTAAAATCAGGGTTAAGACCAGGCAATCTGTACCTCAAATTTTAGCAGGTTCCTAAATCCTACTAAACTTAGTCTATTTGCAGAGAAGTATGAAGAATACAAAACCAAGAGACAGGAATAGCAAATATCCCTTGGTGTTACAATGTTTAGAAAAAACAGGGCAGTATTAATTCCTTCCTTCCAAAGCTGTACTCTCCCCTCAAGTCTTGGTGGTCTGTGCTGGCAACTTTTCTACACTTCTAAGACTTAAAATTTCATAATATTAAAAACCCTGTTACTAAAGATTAAGTCTACAAATGTCAGAATGTAAAAATCAAAGAGAACATGTAATTAATTTAGTGTGGTCTCACTTCTAAATGTATGAAACCTAGATGAGTACAAGCTTTAAGTAAGGGAATAATTTGTATCTATGTTGGATATTCACCATTTTTGCATGCCGGACATCAGGTACTACCCCTTCATTGTTATTGTGGTGACTCCTGAAGTCACCATACAGTTGTTCTTAATTTTATTTAAATACAGTTGTATTTAAATCCTGCTTAATATACTTTGCAGTACTCTGAGGTTGAAGTGGATCACTACCTGTTGGCATATAGCAGAACCCTTTTTGGCACTTTGCAAACCACAGTACACAGATTAAGTATACTCTCTTGCCTTGCATCACTGCATGCAGCATAAATTTCCACCACTTGAGATCCCTGAGTGTTGGTTTTAGACACCCACCACTCTTCCCATTATTTGGAAAGATACAGGAAGAATGATTGATATTGAAGACCCTTATTTTTAACTTAGTATCATTAATTTGACTTTTAATTTTCTTGCTTAAGCCTGATGATCAACTGAAGATAATCCATCTCCTCTGAAAACCCTAGTTTAAGCAAAAGTTTTCAGGATTCATGTACTGAATTATCTTTCAAGTGACTTCAAACAACTTTTAATGGGATCAGGACTAAACACTATTATACAGTCAAAATCAAAACTGAAAGGCACAATATGCACAAAATAAGGACACCATTACCAATCAAAGTCAATGAATCCTATTACCCAAGTTTAGGTCTCCTTGCCTAACATTTTACATAAATAATGTCATTTACCTGAAGTTGTTCCACAGTTTCTTTGTGAGCTTTTTCCATACTGTTCATCTTTGTTCTCAAATTTGACTCTTGGTACTGAAAGTCTGCCTTTAGTTCAGTTAACTGAGAGATTAAAAGAAAAAAGATATATGTATATTATGCACACACACACAAATGCATAGCATTTTAAATATCCTTCATAATAAACTCACATTTCATTATAAAAGTGGAAGCTGTTAACAGCAGTTTCCTGAGTTTTACAACCTATCTAAAATCTGCTTTGTGAAATGATGAATTCTATCTGCTTCAGTATAATTTTAATGTTAATACCTGACCATCAGTAAAACGTTTGAGAAGCTGCCTTTTTTTTTCCTTAAAAAAAGGTGGCTTCACTAGACAAAGAATTTCACAACTGGTATGCCAACAAAAAAGCTTAATGGCTAATACCTAGGAAAATGCCTCAATTAAAATGTACTTCATATTAATATAAAAAAAAAATTTATAAACTAGTTTCAGGTTAAAATTATCTTTCAATAATAAAAAAAAGTTTCATACTGGGCAAATATAAAGAGTAATGGTCATATCAACCAAAGAGCTGTACTGTTTGTAAAATTTATGTCCAGGATTATGTACACAATACTACCTAACCCTTGAGATAAAAATCGAGAACACACAGATATACAACTAATATGGAATGAGAAAGGGGGTTACTATAAAATTTGGGCTAGACAAATAAGAAAATCAGTGGTTTGAGGTCGCAAAGAAGGTTACATGACAATTTTTTTCATACATATGACATACATAAAAGTACAGTATCTCATGAGTTCAAATTAAAAAATAAGTAATATAATTTCATTGTCAGAACCATGCAGAAGCAGCTTCAGGTTATTTTAAAATGTTTTTCACGTTGTAAGCCAAAGGTTTGCATGCCTTTTTTGTTATCATCTGGTAGTTAGTAAATTGAAAGACATACAACAGCAAAGAGAGAGGAAGCCATGATGTCTTATACTCTTATCTTTCCAAATAAAAGCCTGCACTTTGTCAAATTCAAAGTATAACTAAATTCTCTCTCAACTTTCTGTATTACAAAAGAATTCCTGTTCTGAAATGCCAATTCACACTAAATCGGTTAAGACAATTATTCTATTCACTATACTGCGAGTTGCCTCCAGATTATGAACTTCTGGAAGACACGGATTGTGTCCTATTTTGTCATCTTTGTAGCCTCATAACCTAGTATGGTGACTGGTTCTAGAAGTCACTGAATAACAGTTTATGAAATCAATTCAGGACAATAACTTGGTTGTCTTAGATCTATAACAAAAAGTTGCAAATGTGTAACTATTTTAGGTTTACAATTATTATTTTCCTTACAAGATTGCTAATTTCAATCCCCAGTTGTTTTTCTAAAAAAGAGGAACACTAACAACAGAACTTCAACTAACTGTACTAATACAGAAGAGTTACATTACAGAGCAAAAAAAATCTAAAAAAAGTCAATATTCTATAACTTGTTACTACTTGGCTTTGAAATCATTGTGAATTTTGCAGTATACTTAGCATTTTATTCCGCTTTTTTCAAGGTTAATGCAGATATACCTGGCTTGTGTCCAAAATTTTGTGCATAGAACAATTTCCATAAAAGCTTATTAATTAAAACAATGTCGTCAATCAAAAAAGAATAAGACAACAACACCCAGGACTACCCTATTTTTGTCCTATATGTCAATCCCAATTTTCCATATACTGAATTTGCTTAAAATGAGGTACAAATGTATTGAAATAAAGTCCACTAACCATCAAGGTGTGGGAAAATGTAACATAAAGGTTATTGAATGCCAGAAGTAAAAGCCAGCTCAAACTCAAGCACTACTGTGGATACTCAGGGATGGATTATTCGTAACATATTTATACTCATGTCTTTTTCATAATTTTAAAAGAAATGTTTTTAATGTTCTCCTTCTGCAAGATATTTGCTATAGCTCAAACTACATTGTATGGGACCATAAAACAAGCACAAAAATAGGTTCTACCCTTAAAGATGACCAAACATCAGTAATAGTCCCTATGAGCACTTATATATGCCAGGAACTGTAGTAAATACTTTGCATTTTCATTTAATCATCACAACCATCCTATAAGATAGCATTAATGCTCCCATTTTTCAAATGAGAAAACTGAGGCCCAAGGAAGTGATAGCATATCACTCAAGGTCACATAGAAAGTGTTAGAACTGAGATTTGAACCTAGGTATGGCTAAATGACTTTAAAACTGTTTCCTGCTCCATGACTGCCCACTATTATGCTATCTTGATTTCACAGCATAAGAAAACCTTCAATCTATCTATAATTCTGTTAATATTCCTCTTTTCACTAGATGGACAACATATTTAATATTCCTCCTGACTGAATTGATAAGCAAAGTCCCAAAAGTACACTTACTTCCTATAAAATGATTTTAGACACCTATTGCTAATCACTGACTACTACACAGGAAATTCCCATATAATTACCTTTCACCAGTTATTTGATCTGGATTGATGTAAGCACACGATCAGTATATTAAAGACTACTTTCAACTAACAATCTTAAATCACAAGGGTTTTTAAAATATTCCATTTGCATCTTATTTTTAAATTAAGATATCAGACCTATTTTAAATTTACATGCTTATTAAAAATTAAGGTTCAGAAATTATTACTATTCTAACTAGCTCTCAGTTAATTCTTAGAACTAAAATTCTGAAAGACCATTTTTATTTACCTTCATTAGATGATGGCCTAGACTCCAATTCAGGCTTTCATAATTTGCCTTACAGGAATCGTGCACAATAAACATTACCAAATTGTTAAAGAAAATCTAATAAAATTTGCAATGATTAAGCAAGAATCAAGATGTAAATCTTACCAGGCTTCAGTGAACCGTTTCTTACCTTTTTATCTTTTTCTAAAATGGTCTGGTCTCTTTGCTGTAAGAGACGCTTAAGTGACATCACTTCTTCTTTCAGTTGACTTATAAGGACAAAATTGTCTGTTCCCCCACTATCTGCTGACTGATTTATAGAGCTACTAAAAAGAAAAAAATAAAACACAATTAAATGAAGTAGAAGGAAAATTAGCAGGTGTTCAAATTGCATAAATTAGACAATTCCACAAACATCCTTAAGGCTAATGCAAAAAAATATGTACCTGACAGAAATGGATGCAACTGGCAAATTACCTTACTAATGGCACACATTACATACACCTGCAGAAATATAATTCAGTATTAGCTTTTAGGGGGTCAATATTTCTAGTGTTAAGCAATAGGCAGCCAATTTGTACAGTAACATCAGCAAACTTTTGGCTAATGAACTAAAACAAAGTCACGCTCATAATATTTTAAATCTAAAAACATTTTCAAAGCAGGTCAATTTAAAATATCACAATTCGATTTGTGTTTCTCTGAAGAATAAAGATTACGTTCTCATTCAGATTTGTTTTTTTTTTCAAAACCCAAATTTATTCCCCAAATAGAACAATATAGTTCAGTGCCACTTTCTTATTGCCAAAATTAAGTTAATTTTTTAAATTGATTATGTTTACTCTTCTAGGTGACTCAAAGAAGTCAATGTAGAAAAATATATGTTTCTATTCTTTTATCTAGTAGTAACTGGCAATCAAGCATAACTGTTCAACTGAGTTGAATTTTTACAACACTAAAGGAATTCATTTTTACCTATCTCCATTAGATGGCTTAGATTCCAATTTGGGCTTTTTCTTTGGAGTTTCATTCTGAATTGCTGCAGAGGATTTATGGCTGAAACCAAATATTAATAAGAAAAATTAGAGTAAATAGGGAAGAACCAAACGATAAGTTAGTCTTCTTCCCCTCAAGTATTACTGAACATCACTAATTTTTTTCGAAGCCTAAATAACAAAGTTAAAGGGATATCACATTTACAAAAATACATTTCAAAATACTTCAGAAAATATATTAATGTACTTACCTCTGTTTCCACAGTCCCTGCTCTTGTTCTGGACTTAGATTGCTGATTCTGAAAAACATATAAATGACATCTAATAACATTTATTTAATATATCTACATTTAACAGCATTCTTTCTCAATGGAATCAAATTGTATGTGCTTATAATCTTTTGTTCAGAGAAAGGCATATTTAAGTTTTCAAACTAAAAATTTAATAAATCACATTTAAATGAGATAAATTCTAATCAAATAACTACTAGCCATTTTAAGTTCGGAAAGGTACAATGAAGGAGACTGAATTTTCTTTTTAATCAGGATCTCCATAATTCTATTTAATACCATATCAAGGGTGGGGTTTATGAGCATGAAACTACCATAAAAGGATTCTATATTTATAAAGTCTAGAAATTATTGTACTTTGGCTACCCTTACTACTTTAGACAGAAATTTTTCATCTTTAAAGTTAAGGCTTTCCTAATAACCCTAAGAGGAGATTCTTCCTTTCAAGTAATTCACACTGCTCAGACTAGTACGTCAAGTAAAACAAAGAAATATCTTTATTTCTTTAACTCTTTCCTAGTTTTCTTAAGAATCCTATCCAAAGGATCTAGATCTTTTTTTTTTTTTGAGACAGAGTCTTGCTCTGTTGCCCAGGCTAGAGTGCCGTGGCATCAGCCTAGCTCACAGCAACCTCAAACTCCTGGGCTCAAGCAAGCCTTCTGCCTCAGCCTCCCAAGTAGCTGGGACTACAGGCATGTGCCACCATGCCTAGCTAATTTTATATATATATGTTTTTAGTTGTCCAGATCATTTCTTTCTATTTTTTAGTAGAGACGGGGTCTCGCTCTTGCTCAGGCTAGTCTCGAACTCCTGACCTTGAGCGATCCACCTGCCTCAGCCTCCCAGAGGGCTAGGATTACAGGCGTGAGCCACCGCGCCCGGCCTCTAGATCTCTCTTCAGTTAATACCCTGAGAAGCCATGCTGAAACTACTGGGAAATTTCATAGTGACAAATGATTTTACTTTTACTTATAATTAATACTATCTCTTTTCCATTTCTCCATAATCCTAATTGCTACCTTATAATTCACTATGAATCCCACATTTTTCCTATTCTTGCCTATCAGTCAATACTTCACTAACCCCTAGTTTATTTATTCAACATGTATAGAGCCTATGAACCAGACACCACATATACACAATTTATGAGATGTGAGAAGACCTGTGACCTTGTGCAAGTTACTGAAAAGCCCTGAGCCTCAGTAAGTTCCCTCATATGTAAAATGCGTATAATACATAGCTTATAAGGATACGAGCATTAAATGAACTACATATGTAAAAGCACTTAGTACAGTGCTAGCATATACAAAGTAGGTATATGTATATACATTTATGTGTGTGTATAAAATTTAGTGTTGTTTCAGCTGTAGAAGTTTAATCAAAAGTAAAAAACAGACCAAGTTTAAGAATCACCTGTAAATAAATACTAAGTTGGTGAAACAGTAACTATATTCTATCGACCTGATTTACTCTTTACTTGTGAATCAATTGGCAACCCTACTGAGGAATTCAGTTGTCCTTTTGTTTTTTAAAAATTTCATGATAAGCATTAGCATGCCATATAAATACATACGAATTAACAGCACTAACCAGATCTCAAAGTGAGAACAATCACATTAATAACGATTTATCAGAACCATCCGAATTCCCAGCTTAGCCTTCTGAGAGTTGTCCATTCCTAGATTCAGATTGACCTTAGTGACACTTCCTCACCAATTACCATCAACTACAATATGCTCCTCATATTCATTCTGACCTAAGGAATTCAAGATAGGGCCCTACAAACTATCTGTTCATCATATGGTCTATAGTCATCAAATACTATATAGTATTTGTATTTAAGTAACCAAAAGGCAAAAAATCGGAAGTCAATACCGCCCTGCCTCCTTTTATTTTTGAAAACTGTCAATTCTTTCAAAAAGATTAAGTTACTATCACACAACTTGATCTTCACAAAACGTACTCTGATTATGACTATGTCCTTTCATATCATGCTAAGACAAGTTTATCTGTGAAGGATATGGGAAAGAGACATTTCAGCTGGGTCTTAGGAGTACATCTGACATATGCCATTATGGTATTACTGTATAGTTATTTTGTCCTATTTTCTTTAAGGGAGGAAACAAAAAAAAGAGAAATTTATGCCCCTTTGCTCCTTGGGATACTCTGATATAAAGACCACAAGATTTCTTCAAAATAGCCAAACAAAAGAGAAGTCACTGCACTGTCACACCTAGAAAGTACTACAATGTGGTAGTAGAAAACATTGGTGCCTCCCTCAATAAAACTTCATAATCTGCTTGGTGAGAGCATACAGTTTAGAATCAATCTCGCTAATTAGACACAACTATATTAAATTCCAAAAATACCATTATGTGTTCCAAAATGTAGTAGGCACCAGTTTTCTGTAAATAAAATTATGTTTTAAGTAATTATTTGAAACTTTAAAGACTCGTAGAAAAATTTAAAAATGGGTGAGTATCATGTCCCTTTTTTTCCATTTTAATTTGTGTGTTTATATGTGTTTGTGTTTTAACATTGATTTCTCCATGAAGACTAAAATTATATTTCAAAAAACCCTTTATACTACACATATAAAGGGTTAAGACTACTGCTATATAACCTCCCCCGACCTCAAGTCCTTTTAAGAATCAAGTAGAGTTGACCCTTGAACAACCAGGTTTGAACTGTGCAGGTCCACCTATATGTAGGTTTTTTTTTTCCCCAACCAAATGCAGATCAAAAATATAGTATTTGCAGGATATGAAACTCACATACAGGGAGGGTCGATTTTTCATATACCCAAGTTTCACAAGGCTAACTGTGAGACTTGAGTATGTGCAGATTTCGGTATGCTATGCAGGTAGTCCTGGAACCAATATCCCACATATATTAAAGGATGACTATAGCTGTCTGTATTTGAACAGAGTTCCTAACTATATGTTTTAAAAAACAGCTAAGTACCACTAGTTAAAAATATTATTTCTCACATTTTGGGGACCTCCAAGATTAAGAATGCTTCCATCATGGTAACAAATGATAGTGTTATAATCTGTTTCCCAAAAGACTAAATGTATATTTCCCTAGTTTTACTAAAACAAATTAATGACAACTGAGGTAAATATAATTTTTGTAAGTAAAATCCTAACAATTATTAAAACAAAAAAAGAATATTGAGGCTTGAGGCTTTTGATAACTTAAATAATTGAATTATTAACTCCAAAGTACTTGTATTTTGACTTCACGATATGATAATTTTACAGATTAATTCCCTAAATGTCCTATCTTTATTATTATGGTAGATAGCTAAACACATTCCACGTATTTTACACACTGATTAAAGTGAGGTCTTAGACATTTAAAAAGTTTACTGTGTACAATGGAAACTAGACTAGCACAGAGTCAATATTTGTAAGACGTAAACACCAATAAATGACATTAAAATGCCAGGAAGGATTTTAGAAAATATGATTTCAAATTACTTACTTGTGATGGCTACTACTGTGACGATGGTGGTGGTGGTGATGATGGTGATGTTTTGCATGATGCTGGTCTTTCTCAGTTAGAGATGAAGAAGATGAATTTGAATGTGAAGATCCCAGGCTCTTCCTTTGTTCTTTTGTCTTCTGTAAAACTCTCTTATATGATAAAGTACAGAGCCAGCATAATAACTTTCCATCAACCTTTTAAGAAAATATTTTTATTAGATTAAACATACCTATAAACTGGCTGTAGGTGAAACCAGGTAAAATAAATTGCTCATCTTTCAGTTACTGTATCACACATACACGCACACATGCATGATGCATGCACACACACATTCAAAGATTTTTGCAAAATGGAAAATTAAACTTTTCTGAAACTTGGAAAAATGCCTGTTTGGAGGATTATTATAAAATTGGTGATGATATATGGACCTCCATTAGTTTTAAGGCATTTTAATTTGAAGAGAAAAACGTGCCCTTTTTTCTTATTCCTAGAAAATAAGTATAAATTGGTATACTTCTAAGGAATATAGCTTGAATTCTTAAATCACTATGTAATTACTAAAATGATAAAGTATTTTCCACTACAGTAAGTATTGTAAATGTATAGAACAAGAGAGCCTTAATGACATATATAGTTGATTCTCATTATTCTTGGATTTTTGTATTTGCAAATTTCCCTACTTACTAATATTTTTCTGTGACCCTAAAAATGAAGACTTGCAGCACTTTTGTGGCTATTTGCACATATGCAGAGTGGTGAAAAATATGTGTCACCCAACAGCACATGTTCCAAGCTGAAGGGGAATAAGGTGACACTCTGCCCTTTTTGTTTTAGCTCTCAGACAAGTATCCTTTTCAGTCTATTTAGTGCCATGTTTTTCAAGCTTCTGTGCTTTTTGTTGATGATTTTGATGTTTATAATGGCCCCAAACAGTTGCACTGAAGTGCTGTTTATGGTTCCTGAGTTCAAGAAGGCTATGATGTGCTTTATGGAGAAAACACGTGTGTCAGGTAAACTTCATTCAGGCATCATTAGTGCTGTGGCCCTTCAATTAAATTAATCAACAGTATAGTAAACAAGGTGTCTTTAAACAGAAACACACATAAAATAAGGTTATGTATTGATCACCTGACCAACACGTTATCAGAGGCAAGAACCTAATCCTGTATTTCCCTTAGGGACAATGAATGGTTCAGTACATAGTAGTCCCCTCTTATCCACAGTTTCAGTTTCTCATGGTCAACCTCGAGATATTTTCAGAGAGAAAGACCACATTCACATTAATTGTTCTATTTTGTTATCAGTTATTGTTTATCTCTTACTGTGCCTAATTTGTAAATTAAACTTTATTACGGGCCTGTATGTATAGGGAAAAAACACAGCATATATAAAGTTCACTACTATCCCCAGTTTCAGGCATCCACTGAGGCTCTTGGAAGGAAGATATCCTGGAAGGATAAGCGGGGAATACTGCATTCACTAATTCAGTGTTTGTGGCAACTTTATAGAGCATAACTTCCTTAAATAACAAGAATCAATTGTATGTGTGTCTAAGGAGAGAGAAAGAGACTTCTTTCCAAAATTACTAACACTAAACCTGTAAAAATAAAATCAAGTTTCTGTCTTCTGTTTGTTCACACAAGAAGTGCTGGAGGGACATGTCTTATAACTAGGGTACATACATTGCTGTGGGAGGACCTGGGGGAGCCCCTCAAAGAGATAGTCATCCTCCAAATCAACTGAAACTGATAGACAACAGGAGGCCTGTGTGAATGCTGATCAGCAGAAGAATGCCACATGCATACACATACTTATTAAGTCACTGTAGGTAGAGAAAAACAAACAACGGTTTCAAATATATGCCCATATCAAAAGGCACAAGACTAACTTTGAATTTTATGTGCTAATGTGCCATTAGGTATTTTTTCACACCAGCAACTTCAAGTAACCAACAAAAGGGTAAATAGGTGAAAGAATTTATTTAACAGTAATTAATCAAATCTCCTGAATTAAATGAGGGATAACCAAATAATACAGAATAGCCATCACAGAATATTTTTTAAAGTACAATAATCCTACTTGATCAACATTAATCTACGTAACATGCAAATAAGGAAAAAACTCACTATTCCTGCACTGTCATCTAATTATCTGCTTTTAGGGACCCAAAGAATAGATGTCTTAGCAGTGTATTAATTATAATAATTTACAACTTGTTTAGTAATTTCCAGATGATGTCATAACATAAATCAAACATACCTTTCTTCTTCCTTCTTCCTTCCGATCAAAAGCACATTGTTGTTTGCACTGTTCACAGGTCTGAGGTGGTCCATATTTTTTTTCCGAATTTGTGCAACGTTGACACTTGGTACCAATAAATGCTGCAATAATGTTACAGTACTGACAAGGCTTGGGCTGAAAAAGATATACATTTCCTTTAAGACTTTTAAAAATATTAAAAATTTGCTACATAAAAAATAACCAGTATTACAGACATACCTCTGGGATCAATTAAGAAAAGTAACAGGTAAAAAATTTCTGTCATGTATGTTGCCCTGTCATATTCAATGACATTTGTCATGTTTCTATTCATTCAACTAGTATCTATTTCTAGAGTCATGACACTCACCGTTACTCTATTGGAATATTTAAATGAAAAATATTGAGAAATATATGTGTGATTTCCATAGCATGTTATATAATACAAAAACTACACATGAAAAAGGTCTCCAAGAATGAAAATAGGGGAACACATGGACTGAAAAGTCTCATGTATCCAGAATTTAGGGAAATAAACTTCTACTAATTTAATACCCTGGTTAGTTTAATAACCATGTCACTTACTCGAAAAACATTTAACTTTTCATCATATACAGGTATAGTCCACATATGGATTATATAATACAGGTAAGTTTTCAACTTAAAAAAATTGGTACAAGCATATTCAACACAAACTATAACACAAATAACCTGATTATCTTTGATATTCAAAAGAAAATTCAAGATAGTATAGAGCCTTAAGGTCAGCACTTTGAACAATATTATTAATAAAATAATACTGGTATAATATACCAATAGTGACTGTAATATACATGTAAAACAATTTGTACTAGGACAGTGTCATGACTTTTGTGAATATCTAAATTGTACTCCTACATAAAAATAATTTTGAAGAGGGGGTTCCAAAGGCGGGGGGAGAGTCTGATTATGCAAGCCTTATGGATAAATAGGTTCTCCATAACCAGGGGTTTGCCGTATTTAATTTTTAAAAAACAGCTTCGTAAATTTCACCTTGAAATTCAATATAAATAAAACATGTACATAATTTGACTGTTTTTAAATGTTGTCACCTTCCCACGAGATCATGTACAGAAAATTTCTTTCATAAAAAATGTTGATGTGTTGAAATATTTAAGAACATGGCAATACATATTTTTTTAAAGGTCCAGCTTTATGAAAAACATTACCTGACCAGTAATAGAAATATGAAATGAAAACATAAGACATACTTACCGTCCCAAATTGCTTCACATTTTGAGCACACTTCTTACAAATTGTGTTAGTTTTGCTGAAAAGGAAATTGAATATAGATGATCACTTTTATGTAGTTTTCTGTAGCACAATGTTGAACGAAAGTAAACAGAGTCACAGATTTGTAGTTCTTAAAACTTACTCTAATACAGACCAAGGATTTTTTCAAAAATACAAATATGAGAATCTTTTCGGGGTTGTTTTAACCTGAATTTACTTCTCTGCCCATTAACTTAAGACAAATGTTTTAGACATTTTTATTGTGTATTTTTTTTGTAAAGGAAACAAAACAAAAAAATCCTAATGTTTCCTATCTAGTTCCAAAATCTCCACACTTGCCACTATTAAGGCACAGCATTTCACATCAGTGCCTACCTAACCTTCCACTTGGCCATTCTCATTATCATGCCCTGACTTACTTATGAAGAAATTATCTGTTCTTCTGTTAGGCTATTTTCTGTGTGTGCTCCCAGAGTGTAATCACCTGTTTAAAAAAGTATGTGCTATTCTACTAGATCTCATCCTTGGAAGGCAGTTGGTAACACTACAGACTTTACCTCAGGTCCATTAATATTTTACCATTTTTTTCATAGCTTAATCGTAACTTTATTTTTGCATTTTCAATAGCAAGGCTGTACATCCTTCATAAAATAATTTATTGTCTATTTCATCATAGGTAGACTGAAGTCTAGTTGTAAAATAACCACTATTTGGCAACATTCTCTCTCCCACCATATATGAAAGGTTTACAATTTAAAATTTCAGAAGCTAGACCATATTAATACGGAATTACAACCCCCAAGTGTTCCTTACAGACAACAGCTTGTCTTTAACAATCAAAAACCGTTCAATATACAAACCTCTCTTGTTGAAATTCTGATCTGCAGTAAGTACATTTTACAATAGGATGCGCAATCCGACATTCCTGCAATAAGACAATACATTAGTCAGTATGTATCTCAAAGTCCCAAATCTCAGTTTTCTGGTACAAAATTATTACCAAACCTAGTCAAATGTCTAAAACATCAATAAAACCTGGCCCTCAACGTAAACAACTGGAGGATTTATGTAAGTGGCCAATCACAGTATAATTCCTTAGGGAAGGCATAGGTGTCTTTGTCTTTATTAGATAGGGGGGGTTATTACAGATAAATTAAGAAAGCTGTCAGGGCAGATTTCAAAGATTGGTTAAATGTGAAACTACTTATTATTTTGCACCGTTGCTCACAGACAGCATCCCGGCTTTAATGGGATGGGAGGAGCTCCAAATCATAGAGCATTCTGTTCCCAAACCAGTCGCTTCGCTTTCCTGGACAGGGAAGAAGGATGCCATCAGCTTTGCGGCTTCGGGTTCCTAGCAAGAAAGTGCAAAAACCGTCCCCTGCCCTCCTGGTGGAAGGAGAGGACAGAGCAGGCAGAAAACTGAGATGAAAACATCTCCACCCCAGGGTCTCTGCGGCATAGACAGGTGGCTGCCTCACTCAGCCCCACCCCTGAGACCCCCGGACGCTGATGGGGCCCGGCCCCCTCCTGGGCTGCCTGGAAGAAGGCAGGATTCTGTCTCCCTCTCAGGGGCCTTCCCCAGTTGATGCCCAGGCCCTCGGAAAAAGGGGTCCCCGGATGGGGAGGCAAGGGCTCCAGACTCCCAAACCCCTGAGGCGCCGGGAAAGAGAGAGGGGCTGCGGTACAGCGGCCACCCAGCACCCTCGGGTTACGGCCGAGGACACGCACTCCGCCCGCCGCCCGGCACCTACGGACCTTGCAGAGCTGCTGGCCCTGGGAGAGCTCCTCGAAGGGATAGCGCTGGGTACACTTGGTGCAGGCATACAGGGCCGAGGCCGCCATCCTGCTCCTCAGTCTCCTCCTCCGCTGCCGCCCGCTCCGAGGCGGAGCCCTACGGGGAACTCGAGAGCCGCCGCCGCCCGGGCCGCGGGCTCCTCCTCCTCCTCCCCCTCCCCCTGCCTCGCGCCCACCAAGGCCTCGCCGCCAGAGCCCAAGGCCCCGCGGACAACGCCGCCGTCTCCCTCCGCCTCCACTTCCGCCCCAGCCCACCCAGTGACGCCGTCCCAGCAGCTCCCGCTTAGGCCCCGATAGTGGCGGAGGGAGACGAAGCGGATAGTTGGTGGCAGTTTAGCTGCGCGGCCGCGGATCCGCTTCCTTCTCGGCCTCCCTTCCCCACCCCTGATTGGCTGCGGAGGCTATCGCGTCACTCGGTCGCTCCGCCCAACTCCGAACTCTGGCTACGCAAGGAGCGCCCACAAAAGCAGGATGTCACCGGCCAATGACAATCCGATGCTCTCAGCGCGCGAAATCCGCTTTAAACCCGTCCCGCCCAAAGGTCCAGGTCGCGGCTCTAGCAGCCAGTCCCAGGTTTGGTGAGAGTGCCCCAATCCAATTGGGCAAATGTTCGCGAAAGGTTCGCTCTCTGCCGCTACTTTTTTTCCCTTGACTTCTATTGGACCAAATCATTAAGCCCCTCCTAATCGTACGTTATTGGCCAAAAGGTAAGTATTTCACCTGGAGAGGCGTCCCCAAGTCAAACTCACTCTCTCTCCAGCATTTAGTCCGAGTGAATTGATGGAGTGTCTCAACTTCGCATTCGCTTTTATTCTATTTCAGTCATTCCACTCAGTTGCCACTGGCGACGACACTACCCTGCGCCCCCATCTCCTCCTCGAGAAGTCCCGCCCCTTCGTAGAATCCCCTCGGAGCCGACTGGTAGCCCACAGCTTTGTCGACCCCCAGCAGGCTCAGCTGCGCGCTACCTTGTGACGTCACCGGGGGAAGAGGCGGGTTCTCTCCCACTACAGGAAGATGTCTGCTCTTTTGATTGGCTATTGAAGACGTCCGTTAGGACGTGTGGTCTTTTCTGTGTGCTCGGTGAGCGTGGGCGTCCCTGAGGGAGAGTGTGGCAGGGGTTTCTAAACCCGGCACCAGCACCCCTGCCCCTTCCATCAGGGGTTAGGCTTAAGGTCGCCCCTGGTGGGCGGCTCTCGAGTCTGAATAAGAGCACGAGAACCCAGACCGCACCGGAGCTGCGGAGGTCCCCGTGGGCAGGCAGAAAGATGGCGGCAGCGTCGGTCTCTGCGGCTTCTGGTTCTCAGTTCTCGGTAAGAAGCAGTTGACGTTCCCAGCGCCTTTTGGCGTTACCTCACGTTTTAGTGCGCTCCTCGGTCCAGCTTCTGGCCCCATCCTGGAGAACGGTGGGGGAGCGCCCGCCTAAATCGGCTCGCGCCACCCTGGCTCCCGCTAACTACTTCTTCGTCGAGGCTGCACCCTCTGGCTTGCAGTAAAACTGGCTTCGCCCGTTGCATTCCCCATCCCTCATTCACGTCTTGGCGTAGTAGGCCAGGTTGCTGAACATTGCCAGAGCTCGGCTGCGGTAACTACCCACTCGCTGGCCTGCAAAAACATAGCTCCTCTGGTCACGTGGGTGTAACGGCCCCTCTTGGAAACTGGCCGAGACCAGGTAGGCGCGCCAGTCTCCTAGCGCAGTCTTGAGCGTTCTAGTTATTGCTTGTGCTGTTTCCTTTAGCTGCAGTGCCTCCCCTTCCTATCCTCTCATTAACTTCGTAGCCTGATCCTAGTAGCCAAAGAGCTTGCTTTCCGTAGTATTATTAGGACTACAATGTGGAAATGCCGTTTTGGAGAGGCGGCCGGAGGAACTGGTCTTAAATATTGTTTTTGCCTTCGCAAGAGTCCCCAGCCAGTTTAGTCACTGGTGTTTATCAAATTATAGTGTCGAACGCTTAGTGTTTTGGGAACCGCGGCATTGAGATGAGGTAGGATTCTCTTAATCCTATCTCTTTAAGCTGAGTTTAGCACAATAAATATATATGGTTTTCTATTTGACACTTTTTGGGCTTTCTGTTAAGACTACCATAAGGACTCGGGGTTAGTAAACGTGACAGTGCAAAAATTGGAACTGTTATATGTTTGTTTAGCAAATGTTCGGTGCCTGGCATGCTGTTAGGCTTTAAAATTACACAGATGAATAGGACAGAAATCCTGCTTTGAAGAAACAGGTAGCCTGATAAGTGCTACCATACTAGAATAATCTAAATTGGAGAGATTAGCAGTGCTTGGGTAAACTAGAGAAGATTTCCTACACAGGAAGATGGTGCTAGCTGCTTATAGGAGTTGTAATTGCTTGTCACAAGACTAGTGGAAAGATAAAAAGGCACTACAGACGTTTTGGAGTATGTGCCAAGACAATAGGTGCTTTCAGAAAACTTGAGATGCTTTGGAATGAGCAAAGGTAATAAGGAGATAGAGTTGGGTGAGATGAATTGGAAAAGTAGATGAAAACATGAGAAAAGAGAAGTAACGAGGGAAGAAGCCAGGAAAATATTAGGATAAATTTCATAGAAGCTAGGAGTGTAGGGAACACTTAGCAGAGTAACCGCGGGGAAATCACACATATTCTCAGTTTCAGCTTTCTGAAGCTGTTAGAATTTATGATAATGAGGCCAGAAGTATAACAAAGTCTTGGCGAAATGGGAGTAAGAAGTTTGCAGAGAGGTCTAGGGAGGTTAAGGAGAAGTAATGAATAAAGCAAATAGAGTTCACTCAAGAATTAGGTCAGTAAAAGGAAAGAAAAATAAGTGAAACTATTAGAAGTGTCAGTAGATAGAAAAGATTATATAGGAGATGTGATTAATTAAACCTGGAAGAAAAGGGCTTTTCACTACCATCCAAATTCAAGCACTTGAAGACTGAACAAGGGGAATACTCCTCTAAATGTTGAGTTGAGCTGTACTATGCGAAGGCAGTCTAGCTGAGCAGTGGTACTGGGATATAGTCAACCCTGAGTCCTTATGGTAGTCTTGACAGAAATCCCAAAAAGTGTTAAATAGAAAACCATATATATTTATTGTGCTAAACTCAGCTTAAAGTGGATTAAGAGTATGCTAAGAATGTCTAGATCCTTTACAAATCAAAATATAACAACCTTCTTAACCAACTAGACCTGCTACATCAAAATGTCTAATTTGGAAGCTATTTCTCAAAACAAAAATGACTAACTTTAGTTGGTTTCTTGGTGTGTAAGAAGTGACCCTGCTTAGATGCCCCATCAAAAATAAGGCTACCATTTCCAACAGAATTGTGAAAGCACTTTGTCTTAACAAACAGCTAATCAATAAGACAACATAAAAAGATTCTTTTAAAAACTACACACTTGAACCCCAAAGACTATTCATTCAGATTTTAGGGTTGTAAACATTAACACCTCAGATATATTTAACTGTATTTAGCATTGATAAACACATGAACCTAGTTGTAGTAAATGGAGGGGTTTTTTTTTTGTTTTTTTGGTTTTTTTTTTTTAACCAGGCAAGGATTTTTAACAAGTAGATTCACAAGTAACAGTCATTAGGAAGCAGAGACTATGTAAATCTCAAAATGTAAACAACATGGAAATAGGCGATAAGTTTCAATTGGTCTTTTTAAGTATTGTTTCACTGCAAAGCAGCAAGAAGAGTAGCAACAGCAGGTAACATTTATTGATTACTGTGTACCAACTCACTGATGGAAAGGGCAGAAAAACAACTCTGGGCATAATTTAATGCTGTGTAGAAGTATGGGCAGCATAGTGTTGAAATACAGAATATTGTCTTTCAGCCTTTTGTTATTTTCCCAATAACCAACACCCTTGTAAGATTTGTTTTTAAGAATAATAAAATGAATACCTTCATGCCCTTTTTTTGCATATTTCTGTTCCTCCTTCCCCCCACACCCACCCACTTCCGTACATTTTAAGATCATATTAATATATAATATTGTGTGTCTGTGAGACCCTCTCAGGAAGTCTACAAGATTTCTCTATATCCAACTGCATGTTTGTGGGAGATTAGATTTCCTTTATATGCTTAAACCAAAATGACATATCTAACAGTGAAGGCAGAAGCAGATAAGAGAATCCAGCATCCTTATTTTAAGCCAGGCATTAAAAAAGAGATTTGTAAAGATGTAAAACAGAGGCACTCTTCACTAAATTTTTTAAAAAGTATAAAGGGGTCCTGAGAGAAAAGGTTTGTGAGGGGTAACTCTAGAGGAGTGATTTTTCAAACTGCAGGCTGGTCTGTGGGTTACAACTCAGGAGTGGGTTGTGCAATATGTATAGTGGCTCAGCCCGTATCATTTTCCAAAAAGGGGAGAGAGAAAACAGTTCGGCAGATATGCCTATGAGTGAAATTGCTGGTGCATAGTATATGTGCATCTTCAGCGTTACTTGGTTATGCTAAATTGTTTTCCAAAGCGATTATACCAGTATGTTCCACCAGCAGCCCTCTTTGATATCCTCTTAAATGGGTGATATTGTCCCACTTGTAAATTTTTGCTAAGTGGTGGGGTGTCAAATGACATCTTGTTCTTTTGTAATATGTGCTCTAGTAATCATTGGTGAAGATGCACCCTTTTTTCCCTATTTCTTTAGTATTTTGTGTGTTTTTTCTTCTGTGAAATGCTTGTTCATGTCTTTTGCTTCCTTTTCAATTGGGTTGCCTTTTTTTTATATAAGCATTCTTTTATATATTCTGGATGTTAATCCTCAGTCTGTTAGGACTATTCCACATACACCTTGGCTTGTCTTTCATATCTTTTCATTAATAGGAATTCTTAATTTTAATGTAAAATTTTGGTCTTATAATTAGTGATTTTTGTTTAAAAATTCCTTTGCTCCAAAGCCTTGATTATATTCTTATATATTTTTCTCTACAAATTTTAAAATTGGAGTTTTGTTTGTTTTGAGACAGGATCTCATTCTGTTGCCCAGGTTAGAGTGCACTGGCTTGATGGTAGCTCACTACAACCCTTGGAGCTCTCGGGCTCAGGTGATCCTCCTGCCCCAGCCTTCGTAGTAACTGGGACTACAGGACCCACCACCACGCCCAGCTAATTTTTTTTTTTTTATTCTTTGTAGAAACTCCTGTGTGGCTCAGGCTGGTCTGGAACTTCTAGCCTTAAGTGATCCTCCCACCTCAGCCTCCCAAAGTGCTAAGATTACAGGCGTGAGCCACCACACCTGGCCTAAAGTTGAAGCCTTTTAAGTGTTTAATTTACTTGACATTAATTTGTATGCTGTGAGGTGTAGGGATCCTGTTCAATGTTTTTACTTAAAATACACAGTTGTCTCGGCAATACTTGTTGAAAACTCATCCTTTCCCAGCGATTTGCAATCCTAGCTCACTTAGAACTTTAACATTTTTATAATTTCAAATCTTGTATATTTATTAAATTTATTTCTAGTTTATTGTGTGATATATTTTCATAAGTTGCATTTTCTAACTAGTATATAGAATTACCGATTCTTACATATTTTATCCAGCAACCTTGCCAAACTCTAATTAATTGTAATAATTGAGGATTATTTGGTGTTTTCTATTTAGACAGTCATAATCTGTGAAGTTTGGATTCTTCTTTCTTTTCTATCTTAACATCTGTTAGTTCTTACCATTGCCTTAATGGCAATGGACTAGGAAATGCAGTACAAAGTTGACCAGAAGTTGTTGTGTAGATACCTTTGTCTTGTTCCTCATTTTAAAAGGAATGTCACAAATTTTGCACCATTGAGTATGTTTGCCATGTTTTTTGTAAAACCTCATAAGAAAGTAGTTTTTAATAATTGCTGGATATCAAGTTTTATTGAATGCATTTTAACATTTGTTGATAATCATGTGGATTTTTACTTTAATAGGATAAATTATGTTAAAAGACATTATAGTGTTCATCCAGTTCTGCATTACTAGACTAACCCCACCTTTATCATATTGTTTTATCCTTTCTGTATAGTTGGTATGATTTACTCAGTTTTTTGTTTAAGATGTTTAAATTTGTTTATCAGGAACTAATGACCTATAATTTTTCTTTCTTACATTGTTACCTGGTTTTGGGATCAAGACAGACTTATAAAATGAATGGGTTCCCTCTTTTTCTGTTTTCTTAAAGTCTTTGTGTAAGGGTTAAAATATCTGTTGAATGTTTTGTGAAACTCAAATTGATTCTTTAAAACTGTTGCATTGATTATGAAGACTGCTTAGAGCTCTTACATTAAGTTCCTCCACCTTTGGACCTTGACTTGGTTCTCCAATTTTCTTCAACTTCTATACACAAACCTTTTTACAGCTAAACTAATGTATTCATTAACCTGGGAACAATTGCCTTTTTTTTTTTTTTTGAGACAGAGTCTCACTCTTTTTGCCCAGGCTAGAGTGAGTGCCGCGGCGTCAGCCTAGCTCACAGCAACCTCAAACTCCTGGACTCAAGCAATCCTTCTGCCTCAGCCTCCCAAGTAGGCTGGGACTACAGGCACGCACCACCATGCCCAGCTAATTTTTTTTTTCTATATATTTTTAGTTGTCTGATTAATTTCTTTCTATTTTTAGTAGAGACAGGGTCTCGCTCTTGCTCAGGCTGGTCTCGAACTCCTGAGCTCAAACAATCCGCCTGCCTCGGCCTCCCAGAGTGCTAGGATTACAGACGTGAGCCATCGCGCCCGGCCGGAACAATTGCTTTTCATACCCATTTCTAGTTTGCCTGTTAAAACACAGGTCAATCTGCAGGACTCAGTATTGATTTCAGCACTATTAGAAACCTTCCTTTACCACAGTAATCTGAAGCAATGGTCTGTTATTGAATGCATCTGAATTTAATTTGCACTTGGTCTCTGTTACATCCAATTTAGCAGCCCACCAGCGTTTTGTATTTGAATTTTATCTACCTAATTTATTCTAGCCATGTTGCACATTCCACTTAAAAATAAAGCAATACACATTTTTTAGTCATCCTTCATACTTAACACAGTGTCATACAGAGATGTTCAATAAATATTTGAATTTTAAGTGTTCCTAAATAGGATATTTGCCCTAACACCATAAGCCATCGGTGATCAGGTTAAGCATTTTGCCTTTAATCCTGAAACTGTACCCTAGAAACATAATTTAGTTGGAGTAATTTTTACTGAATGCTTGGAATCAGATTGGGAGTTGGAAGCCTTGGGCTTTCTACAGGCCTTCCTGTGGTATTTTTGCTATTTGTTGCTATTTGATGAAAAGGAAACCAAAAACTTTTGATTATCTCTCAAGGAATTATAGTAACTTTATCAAAAAGGATAATTTTTTAATAAATAATGTGCAGTTCTCCTGTTTTGCAGAGAAATTGTACTGTTATTTCCACAGATTTATTAAACATTTGAGCATCTTTATTGGAACTTAAACTCTAGTAGGAACACGTATACATTTCTCCAACAACACTTCTGCACTAACTGGGTGTCCTACAGTTATTTCAGTTCTGACACTACCGAGATGTAGCTCAGACCCCCACACAGTAAGGGGCACAGACTCACAAGACTGCCCCACTTAAGTCAGCAGCCGAAAGTCCTGGGTATCCCTAAGGCACCTTCATTTCTGCTCCACTGACTAAAACTTAAGGGGTTCCCACAACTTTGCTAGAACGACTTATAGTACTCAGGAAAGTACTATACTTAAACAGTTACAGTTTCATTATAATGGATACAGCTCAGGAATAGTCAAATGGAAGAAACATAGGAAAAGTGTGAAGGGCTTGCTTCCATACCCTTTACACCACCTCCATAGATCATCAGTGTGTTCACCCATCCAAAACCTCCCCAAACCTAATTATTCAAGAGTTATCTTATTGAGGTTTCATTGCATAGGCAAAACTGATTAAATTATTATCGTTATCTATTTGTGATTGGGCTCAATCTCAGCTCCTCCCCTCCCCTGAGGTCAGAGTGTAGGGATGGAATTTGTAGTTCTCTACTATCAGGTGGTTGGTTTTTGTGACAACTAGCCCTCAGAAGATATCTTCAAACCTGAAGTTACCTAGGGACCCAACCATGAATCACCCAAGACACTGCTATATTTAAGAAATTGCAGGAGTTTTTGAATCTCTATCTGGAACCAGGGAAAAACTAAATATAAATTTTTTTAATTATGCCACAGGGCATACAGATAATAAAAATGCAGTGATAAGTGTTTCAAAAAAAAGTAAGAAGATAGAGTGACAGATAGTTGCTATTTTAGATAGGGTGGTCTGGTAAGGCCTCACTGACACTTTTGAGCAGATAATCTGAATGAAGTGAGGAAAACTGCTTTCCGGGTACTTAGCACGTGAAAATGGAGTGTATTGTGCATGTCAGTATGGTGGTGAGTATGGCTGTAAAATAGGGAAGGAGGGAGATGGTGTGAAGAGAGAGTGTTAGGGTTAGCCTGGGGTTTGATTATGTATGGCTTTATAAGCTATGGTAAAAACTTTGGGTTTTATTCTGTGGTAAAAAGCTATTGGAGGATTTTGATTAGGAATATTGCTTTAATTGATTAACTTTTTTAAAGGATCATTATGACTAGCGAACTCCTTGGACAACAGACCAAGGCAATGTGGACAAGAGCAGTTTAGAGGCTGTTATGTTAGCCCAGACAAAAGATCACGATGGTGTGAACCAGGGTCGTAGTTGTGGAACTGATGAGAAGTTGAAGAGTTTCTGGATATATTCTGAAGACAGAACCGAAAAAGATTTAGTGCCAGTAAAGATTGAATGTTGGATGTATGAGAAATGACTGCATCTAGGGATTTTAATTTAACCTGAGCAGCTGGATAAATGGTATGCCTTTTATTTTGATATGCTAGGAGAGGAGCAGGTTTTGGGACTAACAAGAATTTGGGTATAGACCTGTTAAATTTGAGGTGCCCATTAGATATCTGAGTGGAGATAATGAGTAGTAGAAAGGTGGATATGAGTGTAGAGTTTGAAAGGGAGAGCTCTTGATTCCATATTTAAACTTGAGGTATCTGCAAATACTTAGAGGCTTTTTAAAGCCCTGTGAGTGGACGAAATTATCAAGGGAATTCATGTTGATTAAAAAAAAAAAGAAGAAGAAGAGCCTCTAGGAGGAAAACCAGAGAGTGTGATGTTGCATCCATTAAGGAAAGTTTTGAGATGAAATGATTACTCTGTCATGCTTCTGGGAGGTCTTTGAATTCAGCAATGTAGAAATCATTGATTTTGAAGAGCTATTTCTTTGGAGTAGGTGAGAGGAGAGGTGATTCAAGAGGTGGCAACAATTACAAGCAATTCTTTTGATAGATTGTTATAAGATAAGCTGAGAAATGAGGCTAGAACTAGAGGGAAGTCCTAAATCTCAGGCTCTTTTTTTAATGTTTGTCTTGTCTTTTCTCTTCTTTTCTTTCTTTTCTTTTCTTTTTTGTCCTTAATGAGAATGTGGAAGATGTAGTAGGGAGGGAGAAATAGAAGTTAATTACAAGAACCAAGACTGTAACTAGGTAAATGGAGACAAGTCCATTACACAAGCTATTATTTCTTTCACAGGAGTGGATGTAGAATGTATGAGAACAGATATAGGTAGGTTGGAGGGTTTTCTTTTGAGAACTAGTTTATTGTTCAGTTAATCACATAATTTATGTGACTCCCTGATTCTTTTGAGGCAAGGGTGATAGGAGTGGTAGGCAAGTCACTTAACTTTTTTGGATGTTAAATGGTAGGATGTAGGTAACCAATGAAGACCTAACGTTTTGTGTGACAAATCATATTTGAAATTAAGTTGTGCGGTAATTCATAATCCTTTGCAAGACCTTTGACCATATTATAAAGAATTGAAAACTCATCCTATTTTCTAGTTATCTCTATACCAGATGTCAATTTACCATTAAGTTTGGAAAATGAGAAATATTTGTCCTTGTTGCATACAAACACACTTACTGTGGTAGACTTTGCATTTATTTATTGAGTACTGCTTTTGAGATTTGTCCCTACCTTAGCTCCTTAGCTCTTTGTCTCCACCATTGGTTTTCACAGCCATGGTATATGTTTTATATTTATATAAATATAAAATGTTTTGTTAATATATTAAATCAACTGGAAATTTGTATAGTTTTTAACATGGAAGTAGAATCTTCAATTTTTAGTAAGATTTAAATACAGTGTAGGTATTTTGATAGCCTTTGTTTATTTCAGGAGTTATTTACTGTTATTGTAAATATTCACTGTTCCTTTGTACTTTTCTGAACACACGTTATTCTGGTACTTAAAAAATATAGTTCTCCAAAGGTTAGAATTGAGAAACCTAGTTTGCTGTGGCCGTTTGAAAAAGAAAAATGTCTGAGAATTTCGATCAGCTGGCAGTCATATATTCCACCTTAGCCCTCAGCTTCTCTGTTATTTCCCCCACTGTAGGTCATCTATTAATAGGAAGTCACCTACTACAGATAAACAGTGTCTTTGGATTGAGAATTATCATGTAGAATCCCAAATTTAACAGAATGTCATTCATGACAGAGTGGTGAATATGTGGAAATAGAGCATTATATTTGGATGTTTGATAAGCCTTAATGTTTTCTTATTGTTTCCCTTTTTTCTTACTAAACATAAATTCTTTGAGGCAAGGACAATGTCTTATTTTCTTTCTGGAGTTTTGGACACTGTAAATATTCAGGCAGTATTTTGTTGATTGAGGATAGAGAAATTCAATCATTTGTAGCAGTTTCTGGCCCTGGATAAAGACCATACTTACTTTTCTGAATGTATGTTTCACAGTGCATATTTTTAAGATACAGTTTATTAAAGTTCATTGTGAGTACCATGTGTAAATATTTCTGCACAGCATTTGTATTGGAGTTGTTAGAGCATTATTTTCTTTTTATAGTATCTGGCATATGTCTACATTTAGGAAAATATGAAACACTTTAAAAGTTATATTTTTTAAATAAATAATGATTGAATTCTATTGTATATAGTCTGTGGGCTCTATTTTTTCCTGTTGCCTCTATCCATATTCTTATGGACAGTCCAGTTCTCAGTCTTGAATATTAGTGGTTTAAATGCGCTATGTGTGGTTTAAATTTTTGTAAGATAATTTGTATGTTTTTATTTTTCAGAACGCCTTAGGTGAACCATCAAGGTCTAATGGAAGTATAGTTCGCCATTCTTCGTCTCCGTATGTAGTATATCCATCCGATAAGCCTTTCCTGAATAGTGATCTACGACGCTCCCCAAATAAGCCTACGCTTGCCTATCCTGAAAGCAACAGCAGAGGTAATAGCACCTAACAAAATAGATGTTATTTGTGTCTACTTACTGCTTTAAAATTCTTAATTTTATCCTCCATTATTTTGAAATTAGAGGAAAGGATATTTCCCCCTTCCAGTTTTTAGCCTCCTCAAAATACTGTGCTTTTCTTGGGCTCCTTATATTGATTGTTGAACATCTTCATCCACCAGATCACTGAAGCTAAAATACTTGAGTCATCTGTGACTGCTTTTGTCATCTCCAATGTCAATCAGGAACCAAGACTTGTATTTTTGTTTCTGAAATATCCCAAAAGCCTATTAGTACTGTCTCTTTTTGTTCTCCTTTCTTTGGTTCAGGTACTCATCATCTGTTGCCTAGATGTTCGCAATACACTCCTGATTAATCTCCCTGCCCATTTTCTCCTTCTCATCCCCAGTTAACAACATTTCTAACATTTATTATTATCCATCATCTCTCCCACTTTAAACAAAAAAGTTTTAGTACCTCTCCATGGCTTACATAAGTCCTTAAATTTTTTATAACCTAGATTTTATCTGCCTTACCAACTCCATCCGTAGCTTCTCTTCTCTTTTTCTTTACCCTTCCTTTGCTTTGGTTACTTTGAAATATATTTGTTCCTGGAACCTGCCATCTGTGTTGGCTTTCTTGCTGCCTTAACAAATTGCCACAAACTTAACAGCTTTAAATAACACTAATTTATTTATTATCTCACAGTTTTTTGTAGGTCAGAAGTCTAGGTAGACTCATCTGGGGCCTCTACTTAGGGTCTTATAAGGCTGAAATTAAGATATTGGCTGGAGCTGTGTTCTTTACTGGAGGCTCTGGGGAAAATCTGCTTCCAGTCTCATTCAGATTCTTGGCCAAATTCAGTTCCTTGTAGTTCAGGACTGAGTTTCTGTTGCCTAGCAGACTGTCAGCTGGGGACAGTCTTTGCTTCTAGAAACTGTCCTTGTTTCTTTTCATGCTTTCTTTATGGTCCCCTGCAGCAGCAGGAGGATATTAATCATCTTTGAGATGTTTCTTCATCTATAACTTTTAAAATATATCTACCTTATACTTTGTGTACAAGAGAGAGGTTTAAATGAAATGTATTTGCTTTATTTGAAATGCTGCCGTATTTCATTTTTTTCAAAGTTGTGTTTAATCACTAATATTGCAACAATTACTTGTGTTGCTGATTCTCTAGGTAAAAGACATATTAGCCACTTCATAAGCTAAACAGGGATTTGTAAATTAGTTGAGGAACTTTTTTGTTTCAACTGAGGTGTATTTTACGTATCTTAAAAAGTTAATCTCCTGATGAAATTGTTTTTCAAACTGTAGACTGATTGAACAGTAAAATACCGGGAAGATAATAATATCTAAGTATAGTTGCGTTGTAAATTTTAGCCCATTTTAATGGAGGCTCAAAAGTGTGTACTGAAGTAAATGTAAGCAAATAGTCTGGTGTCTTTTAAGAATTTCAATACTTGATATTTGCTAAGTAGAAACCTCTTTGGAAGATACTGCATCTCAGTGATAAAGAAAATGTTGGCTGGGCAAGGTGGCTCACGTCTGTAATCCTAGCACTCAGCACTCAGCAGAGGCTGAGACAGGAGGGTTGCTTGAGCTCAGGAGTTTGAGACCCAGCCTGAGTAAGAGTGAGACCCCCATCTCTACTAAAAATAGAAAAATTAGCTAGGCATCATGGCACGCACATGTAGTCCCAGCTACTTGGCAGGCTGATGCAAGAGGATCACTTGAGCCCAGGAGTTTGAGGTTGCAGCCACTGTACTATCCAGGGCAACAGAGGGAGACTCTGTCTCAAAAAAAAAAAAAAAAAAATGTTAATTTAAAAGCTAAAACAATTGGTAAAGGTGCTACTTATCAGAATATAGCAATTGAAGGCTTTGGCAATTAAAAAAAATAAATTGCACGACATTAAAACAACAGATTTTAAAAGCAAATATAAACAACTGAATCCCACAGTACAACAGAAATCAATGGGTTTCAGTAATAATTTCTTATTTAAAAATAAGCACAAACTAAAATAACCATGTAACAGAGTTCTAACAGGAAACACAACATCTAAGAATTAGACATGAATTCTTCCTTTACAGTATTCTATGTAGTTCTAGTGTAATCTTTACATCCATGAAAAAAAACTTTTAAAAAAGTTCAGAAAAAGGCAATTTATTAAAGAATGAAAGAATAAGAAAAATTAAGTGGGCAGATCAATTCACATAGAGTCAGTAAATGTTTAGCCCAGTATGTTACTAATAAAGCAAAATTCTTCTTGAGTGTGACAGTAGTGGTTTTAAGGAATATAAGAGGGAAGGAAGAAAAGGAGATATAAGAAAAATTAGCATGCAAGGCAGTAAATAAGCTTTTATGCCTTCAGAGCACAGGGATATGAACTGTTTAAGCAGTGCCCCAGGATGATCATTCATATCCATTATACTTTTATAGCAGTTCTTGTATTAATCCAACAATATTTTCAAAATGATAAGGGTAGACACAGTAACCACCATCCCCTTCCAAACCACAAAAAAATGAAGGCTATGAGGTACAAAGAAAGGGCCAAGAGAGTTCAGAAAAGACATTTGGGGCAGGCAGGGAGAGGTCTGTGTGTTGGGGAAGCTAGAGGAAAGGAAGACTTCAGGGGAAGAGGGAAAAACTGTATAATGTGGGCTTTAAAGAAGGAGTACACTTTTATAAGAAGAAAATTTCGGTAAAAGTATAGCATGTGAAAGGCTTGCAAACTTGACGTTTTTACTACTTTGTCAAGGACCTTGTTGCTTTGTTTTTCCTTCCTGGGAGTGTGTGACAGTGGAGAATATAATGCTTAAAATTACAGTTTAGTGCCACTTCCTTAATTTGAGCTAAAATTGGCAGTTTTACCTAACACTGCTTTTGCATCATCATTGGCAAACATTAACACAGTGGAAAGAGCAAAAAGTCTTACTAGTATTATGAAAATAGTGTTGACTTCACAGAGCCTAGGAAAGGCCTCAAGAATCCTGCCCTCCATGGGCTCATGCATTTGAAAACCACTGTAATAAAGGATAGGAGTACATTCAGAATAGTGTTTTGTTCAAGTAAATATTTTTACCAGGTATAGGAAGAATGTAGATGGCAGCATCTTGTCTAGAATCTAGATGATAGCTCCTTGAAGGCAGAGATCATCTTGATATTATATTATCTCCTTTATATTATCTCCTTAATATTATATTATCTCCTTTATGTTATCTCCTCCTCCTTGCAGAATACCTTACACATTATGTGTGGTATACAAATGTTTGTTGAACTGAAATTTACATCAGAAATAAATCTAAACTAAAGCAGTGGCAGCATGCTTTGATGTGGGCTGTGAGGAAGATGGAGAAATCTTGGAGTCCAAATTTTCTAGTATGGATAATGGTGCGATTAAGACAGGTCACAGGAAAGATAGAGTATCGTATCAAGGAATGATATGGTTTTGGCTATATCAAATTTAAAGTGCCTGTGAGTTAGATGGAAGTGAACAGAAAGCAAGTGAAAAATATAAGTCCGGAGTATAATAGAGAATGCTACACTAATGAACTTAGGCATCATCAAGGATATAGTAGTGGATGAAGCCTGTGAGGGATTTCTTCAAGGAGAAAGTATAAGGAGAAAAGAGCTCTGAAAAGTACTATTTAAATAGTGAGCTAAAAAGTAGGAACAGTCAGAAAGGTAGAGAACTACCAAGACAGCAATATTGGAGAAACAAAAGATGCAGATTGTTTTCTTTCTCCCTTAATCTACAGCAAACCCATATTGATGTATTAATAATAAAAATGTTCTAAACAACAGATAAACCTGACTTTGTTATTAACAATAGATAACATTGAGATCTGCTAAGCTTAATGTACACCGTGCACTTCAGTCTTCTAAATGAATGACACACTCGGCTTGAAAAGTGGATAGAAAGTCTTCCACTCTTTTAGTGCTCCTTGAAGTCACTTAAAGCAGTTTCCAGACTTCACATGTTAGAATCACCTGAGAGTCTTCTTGGACTCCTGGCTTTCATTCAAAATATTCTTTTAGATATCTTTTAGATTTTTTTTTTCTTTTTGTATGGGGTATGTCCTAGGCATTGTGATTTTTAAATGCTCCCCAGGGCTGGATGTGGTGGCTTATTCCTGTAATCCTAGCACGTTGGGAGGCTGAAGCAGATCATTTGAGGCCAGGAGTTGGAGGTTACAGTGAACTATGATGATGCCACTGCACTTCAGCCTGTCTCAAAAATAAATAAATAAATGCTCCCCAGGTATTTCAGAAATGCAGTGAAGTTAGGGAGTGAACCACTGGCTATGTCAGGTCAAGGATGAATTACTAAGATGTGGTAAAGTTGTGCCAGGTAAAGAGTTAGGGAGAAAGGGATTGCTGCTAATTTTCTTCTAATTCAGCGGTCCCCAATCCCAGCACGGACCATACTGGTCCTGTTATGAACTGGGCCTCACAGCAGGATGTGAGTGACTGGTGAGCCAGTAAAACTTCATCTGTATTTATAGCTGCTCCCCATCGCCTGAGCTCCACCTCCTGTCACATCAGTCACTGTCTCCCATCACCTCCAGATGGGACCATCTAGTTGCAGGAAAACATGCTCAGGGCTCTCACTGATTGTACATTATGGTGAGAAATAAAGTTCACAATAAATGTAATGTGCTTAAATCATCCTGAAACCATTCCCCACCCCCACCCCC